TTAACATATACGTGTTGAAAGCGGTTGTCCACTCTTCAATGTTAGTCAGTACTTGAGGCTTGCGCGGTGTTAATGAGATTCCCGTGGAGGAAATTGTGAAACCCACGTTGTCAGAAGAATCGGAACCAACATTTAACTTATTTAAATTTTTTGGCAATAATTTAGCAAGCTCAAAAAACTCACCACTTTCGATGTCACGAACGTATTTGTTTGGAATCTCTGGCGTGAATCCCCCCATCTGCTTGCTGGATTGAGGCAACAGGTCCATGGGATGAAGTCGGCTGCTGCTGGAGCTCGCTGGAACTTAAAAATGGAAATTGACCAAGCTGTTCTAGCCTTTCGAGTGGCGTTGGCGGTGGCGGGATAGTTGGCTGCTCATCTACACGAGTCGCGGTTGTTGTGGCGTGTTGGCTTTCGAAGAAAGACGAAATCGACTGCGAAACAATCTGCGTGATCTGTGCCAGTTGGTCGGCGCTGAAGCTTTCCCTTGCGTTGGAATTAGATAACGTGTTGTTTACTGGAACGGTTTGAATGCTGGATTGCGGCGTATTCGTGTTTAGACGTTCTCTTTCGTTTTGTAGACGCGTTGTAAGTACCCGTCGGCCGCCAGCGCAGGAAAAGTTGAGTTCGCGGCAAAGGTTCTTCAACTCTAAAATTGATAACTCGCCCAAATTGCTCGGTACTTCGACGGACGGTTGAATACTGGATGGTCGTTGATTCTGCTGACGAACTCGTGATCGTGGTTTGCTAACTCTTGGCATTATTTTTGGTGGACGGTTAGAAATGATAAACGTGAAACGATTAACTTTTTAAATGACTTTTTTAAATCAGTCCTTACAGCTCGCAATCCAAGTAAGAATGATATAGGCAGATAAAGCTAACTCGGATATCTGCCCATGTTTAACTATAGTTTCATTGTTATAGTTATGAATAGGTCAAACATAGTGGTTTGGACAATAATTAATAAACGATACTGGGTGCAGTAGCCTACGGGTTTGGCAAGCAAATAATGAAAGTCTGTGATAGAGTCTTCCTTTGTTTAGACAATAGTAGCTTTCGAGTTGGCTTAACATAGACATTTTAAATCTATAATTTTTAGGTCTAGCGCATTGAGTATCGTCCATTAACAATAATTTGTACTCGTAAAAATTACCATTTAATTTGAATTTGAAAGGGTGTACATTTTTTTTTTATACTCCCTGTATAAGCACGATAATTTTACCTGTGTATAATGTCCAATCGCTTTGCCTTCATGACCGGGTCTGTTGCGATCTAGTGTTCCAGATGTACAAAAGTTATAATCCCAAATCTCATTATACCTACAGGATAAACGAAATAAAATACAGCAATCATTACTGTAAGACTATATAGCTAGTGAGTGTATCGTCGTTCACGTTCATGTTTTTCTGCAGCCGCTCTTAAACAGGAGTCCAGCTTGAGAGGTGTATACATGCATACAATTTCGGTTCCCCGAAACGTTTTCCTGATTCTAAATGAATAACTCCTTATTTCTACTATTTTTATAAGAGATGCGAGGTTTTATGTTCTGTTGCGAGTCAACACTTTGCCTTTGGTACAGTTCAAGTATTTCACAGGTTAGGTACGTTAAAAAGAACTCAGTTAAATCAAAGATTAAGTATATAAAGATGGCCGACTCGCGGAAAATTCCTTTGTTCTCGGTGTCCCCCGTTTCGGAAGCCCACGCGGTTTCCACGCGTTTCGTCTGGTAAGCGCCGAACAAAATTTTTGTATTGAATTGGCTTATTGCATTTTATATCCACACACTGGGGATAGAGGATAACGGAAATTCCAGGGGAGGGGTCATGAATAATGTGGCTTGGAATTTCCAGGGGGTGGTCTATGGCTTGGACTTTCTTCCGGGGATGGCAGGCCGAATGATAGGTGGAAAATCCAGGGGAGGGGTCATGAATAATGTGGCTTGTGGCTTATAATTTTGAAATCACATATCATCAGGATATGCATGCTTATAACACTAGGTCTAAGTGTAACATACGTAAATCAGCGGCGAGACATAAATGGGGACATTGGACAACGGTCAATTTTGCCAGCAATGACTGGAATGAATTGCCCCAAGAAATTCGTGAAGCAAAAGACCTTCAAACTTTTAAAGTCTACTTAAATAGCTTTATTGATACCTAGCTTTAATTATCCTTATATATTTAGCCTAGTTCCTAAATAGCATTACTATACTTACATTTAATTAACACTGTAAAGTTTTTTGTAGTTTAGCAGGACCCTACTGAAAAACACATTATTGTGACGTAGGCTTCCTGATTAAAAATTGCTTGAATTGAATTGAATTGGACTTTCGTCCGGGGATGGCAGGCCGAATGATAGGTGGAAAATCCAGGGGAGGGGTCATAAATAATATGACTTGGAATTTCCAGGGGGTGGTACTATGGCTTGGACTTTCTTCCGGGGATGGCAGGCCAAATGATAGATGGAAAATCCAGGGGAGGGGTCATGAATAATGTGGCTTGGAATTTCCAGGGTAGGGCAGGCCGAATAATTAATGATAGGTGGAAAATCCAGGGGGTGCATGGAGGATAATAAATACTAATGAACATTTTTTGTTTTCTTTGTTTAATAACACAAGTACATAAATAACAGAATCACAAAAAAAAACTAGGTAAATAGGTAACTAAAATTGAATTTATGAAATGTGCAGTTATATATGCCCCATATACATGTTATATCACTTATATGCACAGTGTATCTATCTGTGTGGAGTGTTTGGTATCACAATCAGTCTAATATTTGATGTAGTTTTACGTGAGTAATACCATGATGTGTCAAACTGTCTAATTGCCTCTATTAAAAATGAAGATTTGCTGAAGTGCCACAAAGGGCTGAGCCGAAATGGCCTTAGAAAGGTATATCACGAGGGCACAATATATATATACATATATATATATATACATATATATATATATACATATATATATATACATATATATATATACATATATATATATATATATATATATATATATATATATATATATATATATATATATATATATATATATATATATATATATATATATATATATATCAAGCTGCACTGACGAGGCGTTGAAGGCCGAAACATGCATGTCTGCAGATTGTACTATATATATATATATATATATATATATATAGTACAATCCAAGTCGATCATAGTATTTTCCCATGAGTCACGTTTTAGGGGGAGTTACTAAGTTTAGACTTTTAGGGTTAGAGAAAGGGTTAGGAGTAAGACTAGGGTTAGAGTAAGAGTTAGATTTAGGATTAAGTTTTAAAATACAAAAGAATACAAAATTACAAAAGTCTAAAAATAGTAACTCTCCCTAAAACGTGACAGGTATATTCCTCTTTTGAGTTTCTAAATTCATTCCAATTTTCCTCATTACCTTTGCAATTTGAAAAAAACACCCTTGCAAATTCCTCGTGGGAATTTGCAATGCGATTAAATTTTACTCATTCCTGTTAGAAGTTCATAACTTCCTGTTACAAGTTCCTAACTTCCTGTTCTGTTCTGTTCTGCATGTTGCAATTGGCTAACAAAAATAATCTACCAATGACAACGCTGAAAACAGAACAGGAAATTAAAACAGGAAGTTAGGAAAATTTGCACTGGAATATTGCAACATCCAATAGGAGGAACATTGCAAATTCCCTCAAGGGATTTGCAAAAGAGTTTTTCAAATTCACAAAGCTAATAAGGAAAATTCCAAATGAGTTAAGAAGTCAAAAGAGGAACGTTTCACATAGTTTATCTGTAAAGCTGTCATTACTAAGCCAATTTTAGCTTCCCTAAGGCGAGAGATTCCGAAACGCATGATGTCTATACACATTCTGGTTCTGTATAATAAACGATAGTAATGTCATCTTCCTCGATATGTCCTTCTTGTACTTGTACTTGTGCACAGTACCAGCCTGTTTTTCAACCGCTGTTTTCAATTTCATCTTTGCTCCATTTAACTTTTATTTTTCGGTCAATACAAAAGTACTCCTCATAAGTATCTGGTTTAATGTTTGACAGTTCATCACCTAGTTTATTATTCTTCGTGAAGAACGCTTCATTGTTCTTACGCCTAATTTTTCTCTCGATTGTCAAATACTCCTAAAGTTGCTGGAAAACATCTTGAAGATTGTGGAATGAAAGGTCCTAGACGACTGCTGCATTTTATTTTCGTGTAAGTCCTTTTTCTTGTGAAGTGTTGTGGATGAAGAATAATTTGCCTTTTTTCTTCAAGAATAATATCCTCTGCCTGTGACACTGTCCTTAGTATTTCTTCTTCTTCCTTTTTAAAACATAAGTAATCTAACATTACGGTTAAGTTTAAAATACAGAGGAATACAAAATTACAAAAGTCTAAAAATTGTAACTCTCCCTAAAATGTGACAGGTTAATTCCTCTTTTGAGCTTCTAAATTGATTGCAATTTTCCTCATTACCTTTGCAATTTGAAAAAAACACCCTTGCAAATCCCTCGTGGGAATTTGCAATACGATTAAATTTTCCTCATTTCTGTTAGAAGTTCTTAACTTCCTGTTACAAGTTCCTAACTTTCTGTTCTGTTCTGTTCTGTTCTGTTCTGTTCTATTCTGTTCTGTTCTGTTCTGTTCTGTTCTGTTCTGTTCTGTTCTGTTCTGTTCTGAATGTTGCAATTGGCTAACAAAAATAATCCACCAATGACAACACTCAGAACAGAGCAGGAAATTAAGACAGGAAGTTGGGAAAATCTAAAATGAAGTCTTTTTGCATTGGAATATTGCAATAGCCGATAGGAGGAACATTGCAAATTCCCTCAAGGGATTTGCAAAACAGTTTTTCAAATTTACAAAGCTAATAAGGAAAATTCCAAATGAGTTAAGAAGTCAAAAGAGGAACGTTTCACATAGTTTACCTGTAAAGCTGTCATTACTAAGCCAATTTTAGCTTCCCTAAGGCGAGAGATTCCGAAACGCATAATGTATATACACATTCTGGTTCTGTATAATAAACGATAGTAATGTCATCTTCCGCGATATATCCTTCTTGTACTTGTGCACAGTACCAGCCTGTTTTCCAACCGCTGTTTCCAATTTCATCTTTGCTCCATTTAACTTTTATTTTTCGGCCAATACAAAAGTACTCCTCATAAGTATCTGGTTTAATGTTTGACAGTTCATCACCTAATTTATTATTCTTCGTGAGGAACGCTTCGTTGTTCTTACGCCTGATTTTTCTCTCGATTGTCAAATACTCCTTAAGTTGCTGGAAAACATCTTGAAGGTTGTGGAATGAAAGGTCAGGAGGAATGTCTAGATGACTGCTGCATTTTATTTTCGTGTAAGTCCTTTTTCTTGTTAAGTACTGTGGATGAAGAATAATTTGCCTTTTTTCTTCAAGAATAATATCCTCTGCACGTGACACTGTCTTTAGTATTTCTTCCTCTTCCTTTTTAAAACATAAGTGATACCTGTTCTGGGATACCAGTAATAATCGTAGAACAATTTCCTCTTTTGTACCACATGTCTGAATGCCATGATAGTTCAATATGTGGCGTAAACGTGCTACAGAATATTTAAGTAGTTCTGAAACTGTTGTCGGAATTGAACCTAAGTCCCCATTATAGTGCAAATTATATTCGTCAAGATCTTCTTCGTTGTTACTTTTTGCAAGCAGTTCTACAAGGTGATGTTTTAGCCCTTTCGTTGGTAGCCCTTCTTTCTTACATAAGGATCGCAAATCCTCCACTTTCTTTGCGTACAGAGGGTGCTGTCTCCACTTCTCCCGAAGAACATCTTGTTTGCGTTCTTCACGCATATTTTCCTGTCTTTCGGAAAAGTATTTGCGTATTGTTTCCTCTGGTAACCAAGCAATGGTGGCGAAATGCGGGTACATATCCTCAAGTGGATATGGATTTATTGAAAACAGTAAATCAAGTAACCGTTGTGGTCTGAACAACCCCGGTGTTTCGGACCAACTACCATCCAACAATTTCAACCGCTCAAAAGAAAGGTAATGCAATTCACCTGCTGTTTCTATCCAGCGAATGTAATCGGGTATGGGCTGAAACTCCACTCTCTTCAATTCTCTTTCATTACACTGTTCATCTATCCGATACACTGCAGTTATGTATTTGTCTCTCCAGGCCGTTCTAACATTAACACCTGGCAGGGAATTGTTCAATGTTCTGTAGTCTTCTAGATAGCTACCTTTAAAATTCTTGTTCACACGCCATATAACTGCCAAATCATCCAGAATGGGAGAACTCTTCTCTAGGCTGTATTTCAAAGCACAGTTTTCCTTCATATCTTCCGTGTACGACAAAAATGTTTTTAGTTGCTGCTCGTCATTGAAAAGAAACATGGAATTCTTTACACCTCGATAGACTTTCAATTGCTCGCCGTCAAAACGACCTTGGTGTAAACAATTAACGACAGCCTCACTCATCTTCTCCATGTTTTCCACATGTTGCACCGAGCCAGGTGAAATGTTCATATCTCCGTGAACTAGATTGGTTGAAAATGTGCCGTGACGACCTAGCAACTGGTCCTCAACCGCGTGAACACGTTCCACGAAATTTCGCTTACTATGGTACTCGGCGAATGACACCTGGACAACTTTGTCAAGGTTCAGCAACTTGAGCAGTCTCACCAATAACATTTGTACAAGAGGGCTTGATGGAAATTCAGCTGGGCCGTTGTCGACAACAAAAACGAACTCCCCTTTTAACAATTCTGTTTTTGGATTTCGAAAGAGTGTGTCCAGTTCTGGCTTCGTTAATAGAAAAAGGATTTCGTGGAATAACCGAAACGTTGTTTCTGGTTCCAGCAGGGACGGATTAATTAAAGTAATAGACTTTCCTGTTCTAGTTACGTGTAATACTGTACTCGAAAATGGAGAAAGTATATCTAGTTCATTTATTGGTGGATTAGATATTAACGAAGTTTCACGTCGGGTAATAACTGTGCGGAGGAATAAGTGTGTCATTGGAGTGACTGCGTTAGTACGACTTTGGTCCCAGTCATGGTCAGGGAATGCAATATCTGTCCATACTTTGCTTGGTTTTTGCACTGGTGTTATGTCTCCACACACAATCTTCTTTGCATCTTTTGAGTCTACTAAAACGTTTTCGTGGTTCTCGTTAGCATAGTCGCATATGTAGTTAACATTTGCTGAACTGTAGTGCAAGTTAACAACTAACTTGTTAACTATTGTATGAGGCGCTTTGTGCAAGGATACTTTGGCATTTACATTCATTCCGTGATGATGTCTTTTCGCTGCTGCTGAATTTTTTTATACGTCATGGTATAATTGTAACACGATGATAATGAGATGTTAAAAGATGGAGGCGATAAAGCGTTAATGATTTCATGTGCCTGCCACATAAAGGTATTATTGTCTTTACTTCTATAAAGAACTTCATTTTTAAGCCTAGGATGAGCTTCCACGCCCTGCCCCGCTCGTTCTGTTACATCTTGGTTGTCAAAAATCCAATCAAGTGTTTTGGCAAGATCTGGCCATTGTTCAAATTTAAGTTTTCGACCTCGTGAGTCGAATTTCATCCGCATTTCTTTTTCCTTTCGTTTCTGAATGACTCTCCGTGTTAAACACCGTTGCTGTTCGTTTGTTAATGCATTGCTGACCATCATTGATGTCCGCTCTATTTCGCAGAATTGTTTGATATTTTCACCCAGTTCATCTCTACAGTTCATAATTGCCTTTTTGTCTTGAACTCCCTGAAGTTTTGCTGTAAATTTAACGCTAGTCGCTTTTGCAAAAATACCCTTCAGAATATCTCGATCTCGTTTACTATCCATATAGCGCAATGAATCTTTAAAAACATCTTCCAACTTTTCTTCCAAGTTGTCATTAACAATTTTGTTTTCTGGGATCAGAGAATTTAATCGAGCAACCAGCTGTTCCACTTTTCCGTTACGTTTCTCAATAATATATGCTTTACGGTTCAGATAAATCTGTTGAATGTTGAAGTGACGAGAAAATCGCGCAAAAAGAGCACTTGAAGTTATGCCTTGTTTTGACTTCTCTTCTGATGAATAGCCGAGGAAATTGGCTTTTTCGTAAAATAAACTTTTCCCGCTTCTTGTGTCGAAACGATTGGTCCGTCATTGATAATGAATTTTCCTACTTCTGTTAAAGCATGAAGTTCGGCAAGTCCCTTGATAGTCTTTTCATCTTCCATTTTCTTTATCAAAAATGCATTGCTTTCTTTAATCGTGTTATCATTTACATACGCACTCTCAACGGACATTAGCTCATCATCTACAAAATGTTTTTTGATGGTGGCTTGATTTCGCGCTACACGTGCCTTGTTTTTGTTAGCTAAAAGACCCCGTCTATTAAACCACCTCTTGCTCAACAACGAAAAACTGCTTTCATATCCAAGTGTATCTGCGTGCTTGCTGGATGAGCGTTCATCCTGTGTTTCTTGTTGACCGGGCGTTTTGTTTGCGTCACAAGATTTGTTACTGTCTTTCTGAGCAGAAACGTTCTCATTAACATTGTTTAAGAACGATTTTTGAGTTGCGTGCATTTGCGATGTACATGATTCTTTGTTGCTGTTGTTGTTGCTGCTGCTGTTGCTGTTGTTGTTGCTGCTGCTGTTGCTGTTGTTGTTGCTGCTGCTGTTGTTGTTGTTGTTGTTGTTGTTGTTGCTGTTGTTGTTGTTGCTGCTGTCGTTGTCGTTGTCGTTGTCGTTGTCGTTGTCGTTGTCGTTGCTGTTGTTGTTGTTGTTGTTGTTGTTGTTGTTGTCGTTGTTGTTGTTGTTGTTGTTGTTGTTGTTGTTGCTGCTGTTGTTGTTGTTGCTGTTGTTGATAAGACGACCTCTTCTGTTAAACCACTTCTGAGTTAGCAACGGAAAACTGCTTTTAAATTCAACCTTTTCGGCGGAATTGCTAGACGAACAATATTCTTGCGTTTCTCGTTCAACATATACAGCTTTGTTTGCGTCACGAGAACCTTTGCGTTTTATGTTCTTTTTATGTTCTTCGACCTGTGCATGTGTTAAGTAATTTTTGGCGGAAGTTGTTCCTTGCGTCGATTCCTTATGACTCTTACTTGAGCAGAAGTTCTCATAAAACCCTTTCGATACAAGTGGCATGCTTAAAATAAATTCACTTTTTACTTGATTTTTACTTAAATGAGGACAAAAAGATGGAGTTGACTTGGGATCACAATTTCTTTCTTCATACCATTTATAACCAAGAAGTGGCATTTCTACTTTCCATGTATGTGTTTTACTTTTAGAATAATGATTGGATTCGTATATCTCCTGATCGACGCTTTCGGCTGGCTCAAGTTTGCTCTTTTTAGACTGACAATCCAAATGAGTTGTTGTCTTCATATGGTAACTTGTACTGGCATGATTAGGTTGAAAGGAAAATCGCTTTTTCTGTCGACTTCGCTTTCCGCGTTGGTTTTTTACTAATGTCCATCCGGTAGCTGCGGTTTTCTCTGGCTCTACAGTTAAAGTTGGCATCATTGGAACAAAATGATCAACTGTAAACATCTTAGAGCGATTGGGCCATCCTAACAAGCTTGTCCACATAATAACAATGCTTCGATGAACGCTGGTCAATGATACTTCTCTGGGTGAATAGACACCGTTAAGAAGGCTAAGCATTTTATGTCTTGTATCCGGATAAATCATGTGAATTTGACATTTTATTGCAGAAGCCAGACCCATTATTTGCAGCAAACCAGAGTACGATCCGTTTTGTGTTGTTGTCATTATCTCGTGTGAAATAGCAGCATGGAATCCGGACTTTTCGAATACTTTCGAAGAACAGGCACTAAGGATGGTTGCGTAATAGATAGACGAAATCTCCCACGGCTTCCCACTTCCCGTTTTCAAGCCACATTTCATCACAACTGGGTGATTCTTATAGTACTCTGTATTCGTAGCTAGTTCGATAGCAGTACGTACACGAAGTTCAGCACTTAGTTTCTCACAACCACATAAAGCCAAACTTGCTGCATTGAATAGACAATTTCCGTCTGCAGTAGTTAAAATAGACTTGACATTGTCTTGTACGTAGTGGGAAGGGACCAAACTCTGTGCTATCTTGTCAACCTTTGCTCCAGATTGCAGTGGAGGACTCATTTCATCAACGTTCAATGGTGGGTATTCAGAGCTAAGACGCCTGGCTAGGTCAACCATGTCTTTAACATCTCTTTTATACGAGAGACGATATAGATCACTCAAAGGTTTTGATGCCATAATTGCAAATCTAAGCTTTTGTTATCGCAAACAAATCACAACATTTATATATTCTAATAAATAAAACTCCCGCGTTCAGCTGCATACATGCACGTGGTTTATTTTGCCGGTTTCCGGTCTCGTGGCCGTGATTTTCTCAGTGTGGTTAAACAGTGGCATTGAAACAGAAAAGTGTTAATGCTTGCTTGTATAATTTAAATAATACTGTTAAATTTTGAAAGATTGAGTTTCAAAACTCTATATCTAGAAGTTTGATTCCCAGAACTGATAAGATAGGTTTATGAATTGGTTGTTACACAAGATTACAAGTACTGACATTTCCGTATAGTAAATTAACAGAAACGTAATATTAATGAATAATGTTGTATTTTTTGCATATTTAAGCTTCGTGATTGTTTCATTCAAATCTCATCACACATAATAATAAACAGGTTACAGTGTATAATTTGTATTATATGGCATAAGGCAGTCCATCCGCAAAATGGAGAATTTTTGATTGGTTCCTGCATGAGCTAAATAAATCGGAAATAAATCAATATAACAGTTTAATTTTCCTCTAAAAATGAATGAATCGGCTAGCGACGCCGACTGTATAGCTTTTTTAACATTTTGTCCTGTTTTTTTCTTAGCCAATAAAAATCTAGAGAACAATTTTTAGCTGGATTTTTTTCGCTCTTGATTTAATAGTAGGCATAACAGGCTTCATTGACATTGCCATTGACCCATTGTTGAACTGTTGTAAACAAGTTGCGGTAAAGATCTTTAAATTTTTAGAAGCAATCAAGTAATTTCCTTGAAAGTGAGAACGCTTTGATATCAACTCGAACTGTCTGGACCTGTCTGCTATTAATAAAATTCAAATATTAAGTTCCATCATGACCTTTTATGGTAATAATTGCACTGTTGTTATTCACTAACAGCTCTGTTATTGTAGAATGTTGATTTCGTACGAGAAACGAAAGATTGACGTGTGTGTTTTTATAATTTGTGAACTGCTCAATAAACTAATTAAAATCGACAATAAATGCCTAAATTATGTTAACGTAACGTATATTTCTTATTCCGTCGTTTGTATTTCCGTGTAATAATGGCTCGTTATTGAAAAAAAGTTTTTTATAGCGAGTTTAATATAGCGAATTTAACTGAATTATTACCAAATTGAGGTACTGACAAACGTATATGCCGGCGGCTATGGCCCTGGTGCACATGATGGACATGGTCATAGCAACAGCGTCATTTTGACGAATAATCAATACAACACTTTATTTTAGAACGAATATTAAAATACTTGTCAAATTATAATAGTCACAACATATAGTCATAGCCATAGGGCAATGTTAGTAGTAAAAATATACAAAAAATATAGTAAAGTTGGTTTCCTGAACGTCTCACGTCTGAGCGTTTATATATAAGAAGAAAAGAGAGAACGTGCGTACGTTCTAGTCACTAAGGTCGTCAATTTGCCAATCGTCCACGACTGATTGAGTTATACTGGATAATTCTTCGTGCGTTAAAGTCGGCGCTTTAGGTTTTTCCATGGTACTTGAAGCACTGTCATTAACGCCGTCAGGGTTATAAATGTCTTTTTTGCTATACATGATAAATTTTTCCAATCCCGCCAGACAACATTTCAGTTCCGTAAATACTGTGTCTAATTCACTTTCCTGATCTTCTATTTTCTCTTCAGTTAAGTGACGATCTGTCGTCGAACGCTTGAGTTGTGTATGAAGGTCCTCTATGAGTTTGTACGTTGTTTTACGTCGATGTTCAAGCCTTGATAAACGATCTAAAATTTGAAGAAGTTTCTTTTCCTTTTCACCTGTTTTATGTTTGAAAGAATCTTTTAAGTCTTTTTTTTGGATTTTTTTTAGCAGGTGATTGGCTTCCAACTTAAGTAATTCAGATTTCCTCATAGTCCATTCAGTGTCTATGAGTCCAACCACCGCTTGCAAATTCCAATGTTTGTATACAGGATGACTGGAAATTTCACAGGCAAGGTTATTCCAAAACATTCTTCTCTCTTTTTCTAATTTTGAGATATCGTGTCTCTCAATTTCTTCCAGAGTGAAAATATCCAAACCTTGCTTTATTTTTCCAGAGTGTTTGGTCGTAGAAAATTTTCCGGCTGAACTGTCTTGGTCGGTTTTATATTTTGATGTTAACTGGTCACAACTATCGTTTCCCTCTCTCGTCTCCTCAACATTTATAACAAGATCGAATAACCCGGGATGATCCGAAATTAAGTTGGCACATCGGTGTACTTTGAAAATATTTTCTTGTTTTGGGGATACTGGAGTGTCCCTCCAAGTAAACAGATAATTTATAGGAAGTGATTTTAGAACAGATGACGCGCGTGTTCGAACATTTAATAGACTTGTAGTGTCATCAACTTCATTCAGAATACCGTAGCAGTTTCCATCCTTGTCAACAAACCTTATATTCACTAACATTTCCTGCAGAAGTGAACAGTCTATACTAAAGCATTAAATATTAAAGCAATATATTTTCTCACGAGGCTAACCTGACTATCAGGCCATGTTTTCCTCTTCCTTAAATGCGGGTGGATGAAAGGAAAACAGGTTACTAAATAGGGCATGTGCTAAATTTAACCTGGACGATGGACGGTGGACAATGGACGATTTTTATTTACAGTCAAAACACTAAAACCTGCACACTTCCGCTCTTGTACTTTGTTGTCATTTATTGTATATTTCGTTGTGTATTAATAATAATAATAATATTAATAGTAATATTGCAATACTTGTAACAAAGAATGGCTTTTCCGTAACGCGGCCACCATTTATCCTTTGAGGGGTGGGGGGGGGGTTGATTTTGGAATAAATTTTCCTTCAAGGCTATTTTGAACAAAAAAATACCTGCACTAACAAACTGGGGGGGAAAATATCCTGCCCCAGTATTTGGTGGGAAAAAATGTTGCAAAACAGCATGGTTGCAGGGATCGATTTGACCAGTCCAAGAAGATCAGCTGGTTTGATTTTCAGGACTTAGTCGCGGTAAGGTTAATTTCTTGTTGGAAAACTCCTCAAAATGCTGGAAGTAGCTTATCTGAGTTTCAAGAAATCCAAAAATTTCTAGGGGAGCATGCCCCCAGACCCCTCTAGAGGCTCGCACCTTCGGTGGTCGACTCGGTTGTCTCAGAATCCTAGTTATGGCCTGATCTGCTGCCCTATGATCTATATTTATTAGGTAAACCATGCATATATATATATATATATATATATTTAACAAATATAAAACATTTTCCGTGTTGATATAACTATATATCAATACGGAAAAAATGTTTTATTTTTTTTTATAATATAGCAATGTCAAAAGCCTGAAGGATAAGAAAAATTTCCGTGTTTACAAACGGCGGAAAATTTCCCGTGTTGACATTGAGTTATATCAACACGGCTCTTAGCCAATCAGCGTTCAGAATTTACAAATGCTATATTATAAATATATATATAAATGCTGCAGGTAGCTGCAGTGATACAGACTTGCCGACTGAAACTTCTCCAGGTCCGCCGCTAAATATGTTTCCTCCAGCTACACATCCTTAAAGCCCTTAAGAAGAGACCCTAGCTGAACCAAATGTTATACCTCATAGCAATATGTATTATTAAAAGCTTTTATGAAGCTAGAAAACTCAACGTTAACTATAATTAAAGAATCTAAATAGTATAAGCTATTGAAAAAAAATGCTGCGAAAGAGAGGGGGAAAAATCGCACATGGTGATGGGATAGGAACAAAATCTTGCACATAACGATCCCAGAAAAAAATTCCCTGCCAGCAGTAAATAACCCCCCCCCCTCCCCGCCCCCTCAAAAGTTAAACGGTCGGCCCCTAAGATTCACTGCATAAGTAGCAACATTTGACTTTTATTATTGGTAGCCGCTAAGTAATACGAAACAAAATATAGTTTATGATAACAAAATGATAACATATTGCTTTATTATTAATTATCATTTATTGTTAATCATTAAAATTGCTGAAGCAGTTCCATCAATAAAACTAAAAATGAAAACAAGTGTCGCTTTCCCGCCAAAAATCGCGCGAGAATTTATTTTTGCGCTTGCCAGGCTAGCCCGCCTGGCAAAGCGTGCTAGACTGCTAGTCCGGTTTAATGGGCCAGCCCGGCTCTGATACGATTGACAGTTCTTTATATAGAAATTATACAAATTACTTTAATCAATGTAAATGTTACAATTCTCAACATCGCACTTTTATATTATTGCGGCCTTTGATTATAAATATTGCTTAAGGCTGATTTCCACTGTTGCGTTTTTCATACGTAGCTACGTATACGCACGTAAAACTTTAAATCCGTTTAAATGTTACTTATGAAATAACCAAATAAATAAAGCAACAGAATTTAGTGTTCCGCAAGTTTTAGTATGCATTTGTTAACTTATTTGTAAAATATTTAAAAAATAGAAGGATTCAAAGTTTTACGTGCGTGTACGTGCGTACGAAAAACGCAACAGTGGAAATCAGCCTTTACTGTAAGTTCATATTTACTTCCAATCAATGCGGATTATACGTCCTATCATTTGTTATCATTTACTATATTTGTTTTGTATTACTTAGCGGCTACCAAATTATGCGTTACCAAAAATTTTGCCACTTATGCTGTGAATCTTACGGAAAAGCCATGCTTTGTTACAAGTATTGCAATATTAGTATTATTATTAATATACAACAAAATATACAATAAATGACAACAAAGTACAAGAGTGGAAGTGTGCGGGTTTTAGTGTCTTGACTGTAAATAAAAATCGTCCATTGTCCATGCATCGTCCAGGTTTTAGCACAAGCCACAAAATACAGCCTGATATTACAGTAATACTCGGGGTTGGAACAGAGGGACAGGAATGTGTATTTAATTTGCAAGAGGAGCATATCTGAGAGAAACTATTTTGATTGAATTATATAGTAATACTATGTATTTTTGCTTGCAAAACGTAAACGTCGTTGTTTCACTGCATGTTATTAACTTGAATTTTTACTTCTAAATCAATACGTCGATACGCGCTATATTAAATAGCTTGTTTACAACGCCAAAATAATTAAATAATTAAATGACGTTTACAAAATCAAAACCGGAAGAGAATCATCTCAATTACAAGCACGTTTACAAATGTCACGCATGCTTATTAAACATGAATAAACATCCCACTGTCCGGTAGTATAAATGACAAACTTTTAGTACACGGAATCATGGACATCCAGTTGTTAGATGAGCGGAACTGCAATAAACCCTTGGCAGTTCTAATAGATGTGGAACCTGGAGTGTATTTGAACGAGATTCGTCAGATAATTTCAGATCAAGTGTCTGATATTTTGCCCGAAGGAAAATATGAATTTCAACATCATGGCATAAAAATATCCAAGGTGGAGGAAGCTACAGTGAGGCTGTCAAAGATTGCATTACCTGGTGATGACCCTTCTCTCTGCATGCTTTCACTGTCCTTTTCAAACTTAAATGGTGCTGAAAACGTAAGCAAGGACAGGGATTTGGAATCTCCCTTGTCCGTAAAGACAGAGGCAAGCCAATTCACGCCTCAAACACATGTATCCACGGTAACGAAGACGTTACAACTACGATCACCGACAGCTGTGGAATTGAGAAATTTAAAAATTTTTACTGATAAAGAAATAGAAAGTGGAAGAGGAAAAGAACCACTGTATCGAACATTTTGGAACAAGAAAGTCCAAGAACTCTCAAAAGACAGAAAAATGTCTAACAAGGAAATTTACAAACGTGTAAATGAAAGCTGGCAGCTTCATAGAAGCGAACTAATGGAATTGGAAACACAGGAAATCCAGACAAAATGTAAAGAAATTGAAGCTGACGCGGCATGTGGCTCAAATGATTCTAGATTAAAGAAAACTACTCTACCCAACAACGTACTTCGCGTGCAGGAAGCTTCGGAAGCCATTAAAAGTTTGACTGCGGAAGTTAACTCTTTCTCGGAAAAATTGAAAAGAAGCCATGACGCGTTGGAAAAAGAGAATTTTAGAAAAGAGTTGAAGCGTGCTAAAACAAGCTTGCTTTTCTCCACAAGCGAGTTAAGAAAAGCGCAAGATGCCTTGAGGAAGAACCTTGGTGTAAAGAAGTCAGAATTTGCAAAACATTTAAGCCCCTGACAGATTAAAAATCTGCATGACATACTGTATAGTGTTGCGTCTCTCGTTTGAACGTTAATATTCGCATGGGAAATTGTTGGATCATACACGTTAATTAAAATTTTTTGCTAAAACGTTTTAAACCATGTTGCCATGTAGCTGGCGATATTGGGCGGGGGGGAGGGAGGAGGCGCTTGAGATGAAACCCAGAAATTAAAGGCCTTAAGGGACGGACCATTAGATATTTGAGGGGGGGAGGGGGGGAAAATACCAAAAAAAAACTCGCGTACAGAAAAAATCCAGAAAAAATATTGTGCACAACAAACCTATTGAAAAAAAAATCGAGCAAGAACTAGGGGTGATTTTTAAAATCGTAAAAATTCCGGAGAAAATTTTTTAGGTCATCTTAAAAAAAATATTGTGCAAAGGAATGTTGCAGAAAAATATTCTTGCAAGCAATTGCATGGGGGATGAAAAAAAAATTCGTGCACAGAAAAATTGCCCAACCCCCCCCACTCCCCTCAAATATCTAATGGTCCGTCCCTAAACTACTTTAGCCTCAAGGTGAAATGAGAGCCTGCACTGCAGATGACATACATTTTTGAATATCTGCCCCGTGAAGTTCGTTTTTTCCAAATATGGAATGTCTATCCTTATATGGTGTTGTTTACAACTTTCGTGCAAACTAAATTTAGATCCCGCAAACTACAGTTTATAGACCTTTATACTGTTTTTTCAAAATATAAGATATTCAAGCAAAAGTTTAAATGTTTTAAATTTAAGTTTTAAATTCTCAAAACAGAATATTTCGTGCTTTGAGATAAGATGGCCAAGACCAATTTGTGTGGTCGGTTAATGTGTTTTTTATGCATAGTTTCAGCAGTTGTCATATATACTATATAATTATAAGGCGCTGTTACACTACGCAATTTGTATTTGTCTCGCAACTTGCGCGAAATTGCAAGGTGTATCATGCCGCGCAATCAACAAGTCTCTCAATATTTTTGTTGCAATAAACATTGCACGAAGTAGAATTAGGTTCTACTTTTTGGGGGGAGGTGAATAGGTTTTCGGATCGTCGGATTTCACAGAAAAAATTGTCCGGATTTCGGATCTGGCGAATGTTTTACACGGATTTCGGATCTTATTAATACAGCAAATTGCGGATTTATCTAATATTTTGGCTCGGATCGCGGATTTTGCTTCAAATTTGGGCGCTGATCGGCGGATTTGTAAACCCCTATTCACCCCCCACCCTTTTTGCAACGATTGCGGCAAAGCTGCAATGCCGTTTCAGAGCATTGCACAGTGTAACATCGGGTATACATAAAGTGCGAGCCAGAGAGCCATGCCGATGTTGCGAGCCACCACAGATCGGTGCGAGCCACGCCGCGATATGTGCGAGCCATGTGCAATAAATAAATATAATGAATTGGTCTTGACCAAATGGTACTGAGTACATCTTATCTCCAGGCCACAATAAACAATTTGCGTGTTGACTGATTTTTTATCTAGGTAAAAAAGTAACTTCCCGTAAAGAACTTGTTAAAACTGGTGAAAATGCAAAGTTTGGTTAGTGCGAAAATATTGTAGAATACGGAAGGTGTAGCCTTGCGGGTTTGCATGCATGTTTTGTATATACAGTGTACAAACAGTATGCAATGTTTGCAAACTTTGCAGGACTGTGTTTACCAGGGTTTGCAACATTTCGCGGTCGAATTTTGCGATTTTGCTAATTTCATTATGTTCTTTTTAGCTGTGGTATTTGATTTCCTGGCTCTTTCGTTGGGTTAAAATTTGGTCTTACATGCAGGTTGTCCATTAGATCTTAAAACACCTTCATAATTTGTAATTGAGTTATTTGAGTTACAATATTCCTGTAATTGGATTCTTGATTATGTTTATATTTCGTTTCCGAATTTTATCTATTATTTTACTAATATACAGTCTTATATTTCACTTGTTAACTATTTTAAATAATTTTAAATACGATTCGCATCCATGGCTCGCACCTTGGCTTGCACTCTGGCGCATGGCTCGCACCTTGGCTCGCATGGCTCGCACTCTGGTGCATGGCTCGCATGGCTCACACCCTGGCTCGCATGGCTCGCACAATGCTGAAACTCTGTAACATCCCTCTTGCAACTAGTCTCGCAATGCTTATACACTGAGTGGTTTCCTATTGACTTTTGACTGACAATATGGCTACAAACGTTTGCACTCGCTGTTTTTATACTATTTTTAATAATGATCATTGCAAGTTGCATGGAACTTATTGCTTTGTGTAACATCCCTTGCAATGCAATCCTGAAATTTTTTGTCGACATTGCGAGACAAGTTCCGAGACAAGTTGCTCAGCTTCAGTGTAACAGCGCCTATAGCGTGATATGAGAATTTCGCGTCCCGATACGAGACGCAGATATTCAAAATCGGTGCAGGGCAAAAAGTACTTCATCTTGCGTAGCCTACTTCTCGCAGACGTTGTTATTCTTACGCCAAGCGACGAAAAACATGTTTTTATCGATGAAAGTTTAGTTTTTCCTCACTTGGCGTAAGAATAACAACGTCTGCGAGCAGGCTACATCTTGCGGGGATATTTTGGACCGCATAACCGCATTCCAAAAGTTCAAAACCATCATTAGAGCATGTTTTCATTTATTCATATTTAGTGGTTCGGTAATGTTTTTGGTGAAGGAGAGGGAGCTTCCCAAGATAGTTTGCTTTAGTTTAGTGTTATGATTGGGGTTAGGTTTAGGCAATAGACCTTTCCAAGGTTTCTACCGCCATATTGCAGGGGGTGCAAAAACATTGGGGGGAGCGCGCGGTCACCAATGGCGCCCATACTATTTCCTATTGAGTGAGTGAAAATTACCTTTTGACATTTAGTCCTTTTTCTCAAAAAATTTCTATGCAAGCATATCCAATTTTTATTTTTAGATAATCGCTGGGTTTTTTCTGATATGTGGCCGAGATTTCTTGCTAATCGAAGGACAAGAAGTAATAAAAAACGGCGGCTTTTGTTGTACAACTTGACCGACGTTTGAGCGAGGGTTTTTGTACAAATATACAAATATAAACAGTAATAATGGCGGACACCAAAGGACTTACACACTTAATGGACAAATATTCTTCCAAAGATCGGTTAAACAAACGAAATAACAAGAATCATCGCCCAAACGTTGCGGGTCAAGTTGTACAACAAAAGCCGCCGTTTTTTATTACTTCCTGTCCTTCGATTAGCAAGAAATCTCGGCCACATATCAGAAAAAAACCCAGCGATTGTCTAAAATTAAAAATTGGATATGCTTGTATAGACATTTTTTGAGAAAAAGGACAAAATGTCAAAAATTTTCACTTACTGAATAGGAAATAGTATGGGCGCCATTGGTGGCCGCGCGCTCGCCCCAATGTTTTTGAACCCCCTGCAATATGGCAGTAGAAACCTTGGAAAGGTCTATAGGCCATTAGGGTAAGGTTTGGGGTAAGGTTTAAGATGTTATAAGTGCATGGTTGTTGATTTTTTCACGTTTTACTATATACTGATTTCAATTTGCTTTTCAAATCTTATTTTGCCGAGTTCGCACGTTTGTTGTAAGCCAGCCAATCAAATTGGTTACATCGAAATCATCAGAATGAACTTCGAGGGAAATACGAATAGACCTTTCCGGTAATTAAGTCACAACTACACTGTTTTCAACTTAGAACCACCTTAAATGGATAGATATCAAGTTTGTTTCTCACAGGCTATGGTGGAGAATCGGAACATCCTTCGTCAACACAAGCATTAAAAATAATTTGGATTTTGACTTAGTCCGTATGTAAACAAAGCATTTGTTTACATTTGGTATTTAAAATATTACAGGTAAACTACGTGAAGCGTTCCTCTTTTGAGTTTCCAAATTGATTGCAATTTTCCTCATTACTTTTGCAATTTAAAAAACTCCCTTGCAAATCCCTTGAGGGAATTTGCAATGTTACTAAAAGCCAAAAAAATTTTCCTCAGTTCCTGTTAGAAGTTCTTAACTTCCTGTTAGAAGTTCCTAACTTCCTGTTCTGTTCTGGGCGTTGCAATTGGCTAACAAAAATAATCGACCAATAACAACTCTCAGAACAGAAAAGGAAGTTAGGAAATTAAAACAGGAAGTTAGGAAAATTTAAAATGAAGTTTGGAATATTGCAACAGCCGATAGGAACATTGCAAATTCCCTCAAGGGATTTGCAAAGAGTTTTTCAAATTTGCAAAGCTAATGAGGAAAATTCCAAATGAGTTACGAAGTCAAAAGAGGAACGCTTCACGTAGTTTACCTGTAAACTTTATTTTTTTTCCGGCCCGTAATTCCAGGTCCGTAACGTAAATGAAGCGTTCAGATTGGTTGATGAGAGGTCCGTATCACACGATACGGACCTCTCACATTTCGCGCCAAAACAAACTGAGGAGTGAAGGCAATTTTCAAACCGAAAAAGTTATCAAAAACGTTGAAACATCTTCCCTATCGATACGAAAGATAGAAAAATAAGCTGAACTGATTCAATTCAAATGATTTCTAGACTAATTTCAGTCATATATTTTTATAAATGTTGCCATGAACACAGTGTTTTCGGCAAGTACGGTTTGTTGTTGCGTGTCGAAAGAACATTTTTGAAGGAAGTTATTATGCAAAATAAATATTTTTAATCGCTTTACCTTTTTATTGTCTTGTTGAGTAGAAAAGCATCTATTGCATAAAAAATAAAGGCTTTTTATCGTGTCGTTTTAGCAAGATCTCAACCATGCTTGGATTAACAAAGCACTGGATTAAAATTAAATGACTAACAAAAACAAGTGATCTCAAATCTAGTTCGCCACACTACTGAGTACTGGAGTTTTTTAGGAATTTAATTAAGCATCGTGCAAAATATAACCGTTAAGGTCGGTCAGTACTTGAAAAATATTTCCATCAGTCTCGGGCCGATTCTGAGACCCTACAATGTAAGAGATAACCTGGAAATTCCAGGGAGGGGTTGTGTTATGCCATATTTCCAGGATACAATGTAAGAGATAACCTGGAAATTCCAGGGAGGGGTTGTGTTATGCCATATTTCCAGGGTATCATGTAAGAGATAACCTGGAAATTCCAGGGAGGGGTTGTGTTATGCCACATTTCCAGGGTATCATGCAGTAAG